AGTGGATGAGAAAAATTCGAACGTTAGTAACCAACGGTGCTGGAATCCAGCACGTTAGAGAGTCCTTGGCGAAGGCTAAAAGGAGGGTACAATGTCGGCTAAATTCTCAGTCCCATGTCATGGTTTCGTTGACCAGGAGTACTACTAGTAGGTAGCTACTTACTAGTATCATGTTGGGGTGACTGGGGTCCCCGCGATTGTTGCATGAGGGATTTATCTACTTGGTCATTCGGGAAGCAGATGGAAGAGAATTTCATAGAATGTCTCAATAACATCATAGCTGACAGGGAATGAGAATCTGGCAACATGACTGGGGGTAGTAATTAGATCCTTGTAAAGAAATGATACCGGGGGGGCCCGGGGTGTTTCCATTACCCAAAGCAAATCAATGTTTTCCTGTTCCTGTGTTATTGTGACTGGTTGTGATAGGATACTTTCCGTAGGATACCCACCCATACTAGCCGGTCTAGGAAAGGTATACCATGGCCAAGACCCTGAAAGTCGAGATTTAAGCCTAATTAGGCTCTGGGCCGGGCGAGAGCCTGATTGCCTGAGAGTCGAGTCATGTGCTCTGGGGAAGCCGGTCGGTGTCTCTCCGCAATCTCAAGTCCCCCATCCTCTTCTCCATTTCCCCCCGAACTGGATCTCGTTTGCTCGCCTTCACCGAATTTTAGCTATAATCTGTTCATATTAGATAACACCTCTGCATCGAGTCAGTTATAGTTACACTGTCGCTGCACCGTCCCCGCTGGCATTGCGTTGCTGGCCTGCAGGAATTTCCCAATCTACTCCGGACTGTATCCCGCCTTGGCCGGGAAAGGGAACGACAATGCCGATCCACCCAATCCCCGGAATCCTCCACCTCCACCTTCTCTGCCTCCACGCTTACGCTGGATCGCGGCCTCCGACTCTCGGCTGACCCGTCTTCGGTCTTCAGCCTTCAGGGTTGCCTGCCTTGCGTGTCCGATGGCTTTTCTGAACGTGCTGGCCGGCTTGGACCGCCGCCCACGCTTTCAGCCACCTACCCGACTACTGTCACATTCGGCCATCCCGATAAAGACATACCGCTGAAGTCGAGATAGAACGTGCCGTGCATCGTTCAGGTCGGGTGGATTCTGGATCATTCTCTCGCCCCCTCCCCATCTGCTTCCTGATGGCTCGTTTCATGCCCACTCGACCCTCCAGACCATGTGCTTGCCCCGGTTTTTTCCCATGCGACGGATGGGCTCACGGCCAGCCGACTGACCCATGGGCAACGCCCCCCATGTCAGCTCCTGGTGGACCGCCTTTTGCTGCATGCATCCAATCGCTAGTCCAGCTGAACCTTGACCTAACCGGATATGCCTGTCTCTCCGCTAGTCAGAGGTCGGTCTAATCTCGCCTGGCATGGGTCTGCTTTGCCGTGCTAATCGGGTCGGAACAGTCCCTCTACCACCCTTTAGGTTTGACAATTCAACCGGCCATCATGGCGGTTTTCTGCGTCGACCCCGCGGCATTTGCTCATGTCTCACTGTGGTTCATTTCATCTGGTGCCATCCGTTCCCGGGGTTCGCTTTCCTTAAATCCCCCGTCTTTTCCCCGGCTTCTCCTGCGTTCTTCTTTTGCTTTCTTCGGTGGTTCCCCGAGGTTTCTTTTTTTCTTTCCCCCAGAATCTCCTGCCGTGAGAGGAACCAGCTGGCATCATGGCCATCGGCAATCTTTACTTCATTGCGGCCATCGCCGTCGTCGGCGGTGGTCTGTTCGGTTTCGATATCTCGTCGATGTCCGCCATCATCGAGACCGATGCCTATCTCTGTTATTTCAACCAGGCTCCTGTCACTTATGATGATGATGGCACGAGAGTCTGTCAGGGTCCCAGTGCTAGTGTGCAGGGTGGTATCACCGCCTCCATGGCGGCTGGTTCCTGGCTGGGTTCGTTGATCTCGGGTTTCATCTCGGATATCCTTGGTCGTCGTTCCGCCATTCAAATCGGTTCTGTTATCTGGTAAGTGCCTGACATCGCTGCACCTTTGGCTCTACTAATCATGCATGTCTGCATAGGTGCATTGGATCTATCATCGTCTGTGCCTCCCAGAATATTCCCATGCTGATCGTCGGTCGTATCATCAACGGTCTGAGTGTGGGTATCTGCTCCGCTCAGGTACCGGTGTACATTTCGGAGATTGTATGTCGATCCTATAATACCTCCTGCTGCATGTGGTGCTAACCTTTTAGGCGCCTCCAACCAAGCGTGGTCGTGTCGTCGGTCTGCAGCAATGGGCTATTACCTGGGGTATTCTGATCATGTTCTAGTAAGTTCTTGCCCACCATCAGTTGCCGTCCCTCATCTCACACGTGATCCAGCGTCTCCTATGGCTGCAGTTTCATCAAGGGTACGGCGGCCTTCCGGATCCCTTGGGGTCTGCAGATGATCCCTGCCGTGCTACTGTTCTTGGGTATGATGCTCCTGCCCGAGTCGCCCCGTTGGTTGGCACGCAAGGACCGGTGGGAGGAGTGCCACGCTGTCTTGACTCTCGTCCACGGTCAGGGCGACCCGAACTCTCCCTTTGTGCTGCGCGAATATGAAGAGATCAAGAGCATGTGCGAGTTTGAGCGTCAAAACGCGGATGTCTCCTACCTTGAGCTGTTCAAGCCTAACATGCTCAACCGTACCCATGTTGGTATCTTCGTTCAGATCTGGTCCCAGCTGACTGGAATGAACGTCATGAGTAAGTATCTTTCAAGTCTAATAGATGGGCAGCAACACTAATTGGTCTTTCCAGTGTACTACATTACCTACGTCTTTGCCATGGCGGGTCTGAAGGGCAACAACAACCTGATCTCCTCCAGTATTCAATATGTGATCAACGTGTGCATGACCGTGCCGGCTCTGATTTGGGGTGATCAGTGGGGTCGTCGCCCGACCTTTTTGATCGGTTCCCTCTTCATGATGATCTGGATGTACATCAATGCCGGTCTGATGGCCAGCTACGGTCATCCCGCCCCGCCCGGTGGTCTCAACCACGTCGAGGCCGAGTCTTGGGTCATCCACGGCGCGCCCAGCAAGGCTGTCATTGCTAGTACCTACCTCTTCGTCGCCTCATACGCCATCTCCTTCGGCCCCGCCAGCTGGGTGTACCCTCCGGAACTGTTCCCTCTGCGTGTGCGTGGCAAGGCCACCGCCCTCTGCACTTCGGCCAACTGGGCCTTCAACTTCGCCCTCAGCTACTTCGTTCCCCCGGCCTTTGTCAACATCCAGTGGAAGGTCTACATCCTCTTCGGTGTCTTCTGTACCGCCATGTTCATTCACATCTTCTTCTTCTTCCCCGAGACCACGGGTAAGACCCTGGAAGAGGTCGAGGCCATCTTCACTGATCCCAACGGCATTCCGTACATTGGTACTCCCGCCTGGAAGACGAAGAACGAGTACTCGCGCGGTGCACACATCGAGGAGGTTGGCTTTGAGGATGACAAGAAGGTTGCTGGTGGACAGACTATCCACCAGGAGGTCACTACTACCCCGGAGAAGATTGCTTGAGGTGAAAGATCAATGGTGTCGATGATGATGGAGGTGGGTGAGCGGAGAGAACATACATGGTAGTTGAAGTATATACAAAAAGGAGCTAATTAGACATGTGTCGGCTTAATGCAAGATAAATAACATACCTTTTGTCCACTCGACATACTTGGAAAATATTCTCTGAAAACTTTATATATATTTTCAGCACTTCATACCAGATACTATAACCCCTAGTTAGTGGGTACTGCCGTCACTCTGAGAATCAGGTGACAGGCCTCACCGATCTGGGTACTTAAGCAAAGCATTACTCCAGCCAACTTCTACGTTGTGCTCACAACTGTGCACAATCCTGCACAATCCCCCAACTCTAACTAAAGAACATCAGTCAATCAGCTAATAGTAGCAGAATTGATCTACTTGTCTAGTGCGATAATCCACTTTTGCTTTCTGCTTCCAGAATAAATCAGGCACCTGTCGCTAGTGATGTCATTCTGTGAAGGCTTACCAACCTATTCTCTGCCCACCAGGTGGAGAGGATTTATTGACACTATGGTTCTTGAGCAATGGAGACATGACCCACGAGTGGAGATAAAACGAACTAGACTATTGCTTGTTCAAGGTGCGCTTCGGTAAACCCCTGTCTTGAGCAATTACGCTGGACTTACGACCATATCCCTGACAATTAATAGTTTGCTTGTGGCACATGGTCATACTTCCGACCCAAAATTCAACAAGTTACACCAGATCTTCCCCAACATCAATCAACGAAGAAATGAGAAAGGGGGATTATCTCTCCCCTGGCGCTCTCAAGACCAACTCAAGCTTTCCGCGTGGATTGTCCGACTCCGAAGACAAGCTTTGGTGTCTGGCGCTGATCGCCCGTCATGGAGCCACCACTAGTGGCATAGTTTTACCCACACACACCCACGACTTAGGCTTTACAGCCCGCTGTCTATTGCACTCGTGCAGATCGGACAATTGATTGTGTGTAGTGCTTGTTTTTCTCGCTATGGTTGTGTTTTCTTTTATCAGAATGGTGATAACGGTTTGGTGGTGGAATGAAACGGTTTGTTCCTGATTGATAATAGGGGGTTTAGTCGTTGAGCAACATGTTTGTCACTTGCTTGGTGAAAGAGATCAACGAATGTGTTCTGCTGCGAATGTCCTGAACAGCCTTTGGCTAACGACAATAGCACGGCAATTGGTGCTTGCACGGACAGCGGGTCTTGGTCAGGCTGATCCAGTGTGATCTGCACTAGTCAGGTTCCTTATTGGCGATGGATGTCGATGCCTCTTATCAGGGTTCGTAAGTCGATGCCATATTCTCTAGGCAGGGGTTTCTATCGTTGGGATGTTGGAGTGCAAACGTCAGCATGTCAAAGTGAAGTGATGCGAGTCAATGGGATCAGCAGCGTTCTGTCAACTAGCATATATTTCCCGCAGCTCCCACTGTTTTGCATGATGTTTTGCACGCCACGCTTGTTCGCTCGCTGCTGTCAACATGCGTGCCTCACTTCTCCTTCTCAGTGTTACGGTCGCTCTCGCTAGCCCAACGCCCCGTAACTATGTCATTCATGAGCGGCGCGATGCATTGCCCAGTGTCTGGGTTGAGGAAAGCCGGTTGGAGAAGAGTGCTATGCTGCCTATGCGAATAGGGCTTGCTCAGTCCAACTTGGATCGTGGTCACGAAATATTGATGGAGCTGTATGTTGACCGATCCCTCACCGGGACCAAGCTGATGGTTTAGGTCTCATCCACAATCATCTCGCTACGGACAGCACCTCTCCAGCGAGGAGGTGCATGACCTGTTTGCTCCGTCGAATGAGGCCGTGGAGAACGTCCGAGCCTGGATTGAGTCTGCTGGCATTGCCCCAGGCCGCATCTCACAATCCTACAATAAGCAGTGGCTGCACTTTGATGCCCACGCAAGCGAGGTCGAGCAGCTTCTGCAGACGGAATACTACATCTATTCACACGCCGACACGGGAAGCACCCATGTGACATGCCATGAGTGAGTTCTTTTTCGGCATGCCATGACCTCGCTAACCGGTTAGATACCACGTGCCTGAGGCTATTCAATCGCACATCGACTACATAACACCAGGAGTGAAGATGTTGGAAGTGCGCGGCATGCCCTCCAAGAAGAGAGATACAGAGAAGCGTTTCCTTGGCAGTCTGCCCCCGATTCTAGCTCCACTACCAATCAATATCACCAAGATTTTCGATGACCCGCTAGCACACTGCGATCTGGCCGTGACACCAGACTGTATTAGAGGTATGATTATCCACCCGACCCTATGAGCGACGCTAACTGTCCAGCCATGTACAACATCACCAAAGGAACAACAGCCACAAAGGGCAACGAGCTCGGCATCTTCGAAGACCTAGGAGACATCTACAGTCAAGAAGACCTAAACCTTTTCTTCTCCAACTTTGCCAGGTCCAACCCCTCCCTCCACCCTCTAAGACACAACTAACACCACCCAGCGAGATCCCCCAAGGAACCCATCCAACCCTCGACTCCATCGACGGAGCCACCGCGCCAACAGACGTCACCAACGCGGGCCCCGAGTCCGACCTCGACTTCCAGATGGCCTACCCGATCATCTGGCCCCAAAACACCATCCTCTACCAAACCGACGACCCCAACTACGAAGACAACTACAACTACAAAGGCCTCCTCAACAACTTCCTCTACGCCATCGACGGCTCCTACTGCAACGAAACCTCCTCCCTAGACCCTCAATACCCAGACCCCTCCCCAGACGGCTACAACTCCCCCAAGCAATGCGGCGTCTACACCCCGACAAACGTAATCTCCATCTCCTACGGCAGCCCAGAAGCCGAGCTCCCCATCGCCTACCAACGCCGCCAATGCCACGAGTTCATGAAACTCGGCCTGCAAGGCATCACTGTCGTCGTAGCATCCGGCGACTCCGGCGTCGCCTCCAGCACCGGCGCCTGCCTGGGCACCTCAGACAACATCTTCGTCCCCGACTTCCCAGCCACATGTCCCTACCTAACCGTAGTAGGAGGCACATACCTCCCACTAGGCTCCGACGCCGCCAAAGACGAAGAAATCGCAGTCACCCGCTTCCCCTCCGGCGGCGGGTTCAGTAATATCTACGCCCGACCATCATACCAGAACCACTCCGTGGAAGCCTATTTTTCCACTACCTCCGACGAGCTCACCTACCCCTACTACTCAGAAGTAAACTACACAGACTTCTCCACCGCAGACGGGATCTACAACCGCATCGGACGAGGATACCCCGATGTCTCTGCAATCGCAGATAACATCATCATCTATAATAAGGGCGAAGCCACATTAGTAGGCGGTACCTCTGCCGCGGCGCCGGCGTTCGCGGCCATGTTGACGCGCATTAATGAGGAGAGGTTGGCGAAGGGGAAGGCCACGGTGGGGTTTGTGAATCCGGTGTTGTATGAACATACCGAGGCGTTTAAGGATGTGACCGTTGGGGAGAATCCGGGGTGTGGAACGGATGGGTTTCCGGTTGCGAGGGGGTGGGATCCTGTTACGGGGTTGGGGACGCCGAGGTTTGAGAGGTTGATGGATTTATTCATGAAGCTTGATTGATGGGGGGAGTGGATTATGAGTTTCAGTTGGATCTGTTTTATGATAATGCTAGTATAGAAAGTGTTGTAATGCATGTGCTTAATGTTGATATCATCTGATGTAGATATAGAAAGAAAGGTCCACCACGTAAACGCTGCCTTCATGTATGATACTATCTATCAGCTGAAAGTTCTTCCCTGAATAATATATACTAATATTCACGAAAATAAGCAGACTAACCCACGAAAGATGTATAAATCAAATATCTATCTATCCCGTGTCTGCCCCTCCCCCGCATACCCAGCCCTACCCCTTACAGCCCAGTACCTAACCTATACCTCCATCCACCGAGCGAAAGGCTTTTCTCTCCCTCTTTCTTCCAAAGAACTTACACACAAAAAGCCAGTCATCTGCACAGAAATCTACCATCTACAATGTCCTCTGGATCCACATTCCGCAACCACTGTGAACAGATTGCCTCGCTTGTCGGGACAAAGAAATCAGACTCGACCCCTACCACCATCTACGACGCATTAAAGGAACTCCAGTGCAACCGAGACGACCTTGCCGCGGTTACCGGAACGGCTGGTAGTGGTCTCTCCCTGTCTGAAATCACCGAACGAGCCGTTTCCGACTTGAACGAACGGAGTAGCTTGTTAAACGAACGGAATAGCTTGAGAGCGGAGAATCAGCGGTTGAGGGACGAGTGCATTACCCTTCGCACATTATGCCGTGGTCTACAGGAGACCAATGGGAGGCTTGAAAGAGGGTTCGATCGACTACAGCGTGAGCAGAGCATAGTGAATGATGTTCTTGCGGGAGGGTTGGGTCTGGGGGAATCTAGATCTGAGTCTTTGCTAGGTAGCAAATCTCTATGCTCATCAAAGTATAGTATACATATACTAACAAATTGTCAACACAGGCCGTGCACATATCATCACAGACGAGCTACAAAGCTGGAAGATTCACGCGAAAGAAACAGCAAAACGCGCAGAGCAAGCGCAGAAAGAGGCCGCGAAACAAATCGCCAAAGCCCGAGAAGACAAGGCCTTGGCCGAGGACGCTCAATTCTTTTACGATGACATGGAAGTAGCAGTTTCACTGTAAGATCAGATCAGCTACTACTACTATTACTTACTTCCCTAGTCTCATACATTCCCGCCAAGCTAACCCCTACACAATAATCATCCACAGGAAGGGCGAATTCGACCTTATCTGGAAAGACACCCGGAAGCATTGCGAACGCTATCTCGGCTACAAGGGTATGGATGAATCCAAGCAGATGGCTATATTTACCATCTGGGAATATCTCTGCAGGAACGCTTGGGGTTGCGATGACAAACCACTGAGACATAGCAACAGCACTTGGGGTAGCTTCTTCAGGAAGAAAAGCAACCCTCTTGAAAATCTCTTCCCTACTGACTCTACAAACAAAGGAAGGCCAATGTCTAAATCCCTGGGCAAGTTGATCGCCCGGGCCAAGGATCTGCAGGATGAATTAAAGGAGTATGGGTTTCAAGCTCACATCGACCTGGAGGGGCATCTCGATGAAAGTCTGCCCCTGGCTCTAGACTCCGGAGTCATGATTTGTGTGGAGCATAGGGAGGATGGGTGTTTGGGGGTTTTGTAAGCTGGGGGGAGGAAGAATGGGCCAGGGGTTCTGTTCGGGGATAAGTTCTTGGTTGAGGAGTCGATTGCGTTCTGTCATGTTGGGGGCGTTTCTATCAAAAGTTATTATCGGGTGCTTGTTTCTGAGTTTTATCGTGAGCGTTTGGGTGGTTTGGCTTGCTGGTAGATGGTTATTTTTGTATGAGTGTTATATAGACTGTTGGTTTATGTCTCGAGTATAGATAGATGGGCATGAAATTCTTGCGCTAGCTCGTTGGCATGTAAGCGAAGCAGTTAGTAGTAGTTGATTTGGCTGTTATCCCGAGGACACACAGTGCCGGTAGCGTATAATTACTTTAGCCAATCAAGTATTTCGACCTACTACCTTTTCTAGTAGTAATATATACTATATACCAGCTATAATGTCAACCATGGCCTCTACTACCTCCTACTACTTGGAACACACCTATTCTCTTTCCTTCCATTTACCCAAGTGAGTATCAGCAGTATGGAGACCAAATCTATTTTCACATTTCTCTATCTCCTACACAAATATATACCCATCACATAATCATCATCATCATACAAGCGAGAGTTCCCAGCGACCAGCACTTTAAACAATCACCTTATGACCAGCAGGCTTCTCCTCCTCCTCACCGAAGATGTCAATATCCCAGCGAGGCTTGTTAGCAATGTAAGGAGTGTTGTAGCGTCTGCGGTCCTTGCCCAGCTCGGAGACCTTGGCGATCTCCTCGGGAGTGAGCTCCACCTCCTTGAAGTTCTCCTGGATGCGGGACGGCGTAACCGACTTAGGGATGACACTGTGGCCGCCGACCTGGGACCAGGCCAGGACAACCTGAGCGGGGGTGACGGTGGTGCCGAGGCGCTTGGAGGCAGACTCGGCGACTTCCTTGACTTCGGGGCGGGTGACGAGGAGGGGGACGCCGAAGCCGTTGTTACCGAAGGCCTGTATTCATTCTATATTAGTCTTTGTTTTTGGAATGATTGTGGAGAGGGTATGGAGGGGAGTCGTACAGAGTAGGCAGTGACGTGGATGCCCTTCTTCTGGCAGTATTCAATGAGCTCGTTGCTCTGGAGAACGGGGTGGCGCTCAATCTGGTTGACAGCGGGGACGACACCGGTGGCGTTGATGATGGCCTCGAGCTGTTTGAAGGTTAGTAAGTGTTGATGAGGAGTGGGTATGAAGCGACTCACGTGGGGGATCATGTGGTTGGAGACACCGACGGTGCGGGCCTTGCTCTTGGGGAGCTGGGTCATGGCCTTCCAGGTGTCGACGATGGAGATGTTGTCGTTGATCACGACATCACCGCCCTCAACGGAGCTGTCCTTGACGAGGGGGAAGAGCTCGGAGCCGGTGGTGAAGGAAACGGGCCAGTGGACGAGGTAGAGCTGGAAGATGTTAGTGATTGTTGGTGATGTCGGTCATCAAGGTACGCACATCGAGGTAGTCGAGCTCGAGCTCAGCAAGGCACTCGTCCAGAGCCTTCTCAACAACGGCGGGGTCGTGCTGGGAGTTCCACAGCTTGGAGGTCTGCGGGGATTAGTATAGGCTGGAGGTGGGATGTATGGAATGTGCTTACGATGAAGATGTCCTCACGCTTGAGGCCAGGGACATCCTTGTAGGCTCTCTTGATGCCCTCGGCGACCTCGCGCTGGTTCTGGTAGCTGCTGGGGTTAGCTTATGTGATCGATTTGAGGTGAGTGTCGGAACCTACATAGTAGCCAGATCCTAAATCGTGTTAGTGACTGGTTATTTCTCGAGTACAATTCAAATATGTGACTTACCAAGTGGCGGTAACCGGCCTTCAAGGCCTCGTAGACGGCATCACCGACCTGACCGGGGGCAGACTGCCAGGTACCAAATCCCAGCTGGCTAATTGGGGTCAGCAATTGCGATTGCGCAAGCAGAGACAGGAAATACATACGGGATCTGAGCACCGGAGTTGAGAGTAACCTTCTTTCCGAGAGACATTGTGTAAGAGGATGGATTTCACGAGGAGAATAGAGATAGGAGAGATGAAGAAAGAAGGAAAGACTGAAGGAAGAAGAGGAGGGCGAGCGCGACAGAAATAGGGAGCGCTTCCAGACGGCCGAGGTCCTCCGGTGGGGGTCACATAGCATGGCTCTAGTCCATCATCGAAGTCGATGGAGGGAGGTGCCGCGACGATGAGTGGCTGATGATGCTTTTCGAGGGGAAGTTTACCCCGCCAGCAGTAACTGGGACCCCTCGGTGGGGCGTGCGTGGGATGTTCCCATTCCCATTCCATTCATCTTCTGAGATACTTCTCGGTCTGTCGGTTAATTCCGACCCCGAGAAGAGGATACCATGGTCAGGCACGCCATTTATTTCCCGAGAATTGCGGTTGCAATGGTATCTTGCCAATGGCTATTGTGTTTTCGACTCTGATGGAGTACACACCTCCAGCAGTTGATGGCAGTCGAGAAAGTCAGAGATAGTCAGTGATGATGTCAGGCGGCAGACATTCCTCCGAATTCTCTTCCCCGCCAAAACACGTTTCCTCTTTGGGACCCCTACAAATAATTTTCCACCAATCACTGTCCTTATTATATTTTACTCATACCCTATTACTTACTAACATTATCTGCCAGGCACATGATCTGAGAATTGAGATTTCGACACAACGATTTACATCTCGTTTGAGAAGTGCCATGAAATCTGGAACATCTCGCTTACACATCTCCTTCTGCATCATTGCATCTCTGCGGGGTCAGACTTCCCCAAATCACCCCCAAATCATCCGCATCAACCCGCTTCCCGCACGGATAATTGCCTCGTTCAGCAGTCCAATCATCCGCTCGGCTTCCTCGCCGACCACCCCGGCTAATTTTTCGACGTGCCGCGCTTCCAGTTTCCTGTTCGGTTGAATGAGAAAGTCTAACCACAATTTTCGTCTCAAGCTGATGTTGATCATGACTGCATAAAGCATATCGGCCACCGGAATAGATTCAATGCCACCTGCAACTGCCATTATATGAATCTCCGGGGACTGACCGGTAGATTGTGTTGTGTTTCCATATTAGCTTTCCCAGCGGGGCTGAGTGCTCAGCTTACCAAACATGCTAATTAACGCCCAAGTATAGCGATAGCAGCACGTGAATATGGATCGTATCAATCGTGCAGTCAATTTATCCGCAACACTATCTACAACACCACCAATCCTGTCCTAGTCCGACATCCGTTAGGAACAGCCCATGGGCCGAGCTGTACGTCCGGGCCTAACCTATGCTTAATGCTGAGGCTCGAAATCTAATCCTGACATGGCTGCTTTGGTTCTGCAGCTGTCATGTGTACTGTGCTTGCTCCAATTGCTGCAAGGAGGTGAACCGGCTGAGGACATCAGTTAGGCACTTGTAGCTCGCATGCCTCATCGACTTGCTTTCTTCGCCCACCAACTCGTTGACAGGGTGTATCATTATGTGCTGAAAATCAATACGGCATAGAGTCTACTGCTAACTGTTCTGGGTATGGTAGATCATTTCTCCATATTCCGTCCACATTCGAGCACGGCTGGTAGTGGCCCACCTTCATTTGTGGGAGCAATAACAGTCAGTATACGTACACCATTGCTGGATGGTCCACACCTGTCATGTTCTACCACCACGTGGCTTAATCTTGCTTCTATTTAGGGGCATGTGGGTTGAGTTTATATTGAAACAGATATCTACTTCTAGGACAAAGCTTATTACAACAGGTCAACATAACTATCCTTCAACTATAGAACAGAAACCAGATCAATGTTACCACCATACGGACCATAAGCATGAAGACCCTTATACTAATTACTGTAAAGCTGTTAGGTCTGAAGTACACTTCTGATTCTTCTGCGTCACAGTAATATCACCCATCACATCGACAGACGCGCGTACTGCATAATGCCGGAGGATATAAGCAGTGGTGGCTCAGGGCGGCTGCACGAAATATATATTCGCCGGTCATCAACGATGCGATCCACCAGGAGCCGTCCGACAGCTGCGTGGCATATGCTGCGATATACCGACATCTGCATGTGTCCGGATGGGCCCGACGCGCCGGAAATGACCCGTCAAGCATCATTTGGTCGTAGTCCTCATAGGGTGACGTACTCCGTGACGAGTGGCTTCTTGGCTCTGCAACGAGATAGGCAAAACAGCTGGTTCCAAACCAAACCGGCTGCTGTATAACGAGTAAGCATGTTACTGTGGACCTCATCCCTCACCGTCAGTTATTGTACACTGCTCAACCCTTTCCCTGCCTCTCTCCACGACCGTTCTCGGTTGTTCCACCTCCAGATTTCACACTCCAGGTGTATCTGCAAGTAACGTGGCCTAGCTCCGAACGGGGCATGGCTGGATGGCACTAAGGATGGATCCGTCACTAGCGGTTCTTGGGCCGGGGGCAGGCGACCAATAGAGGCGGGGGAACCTCCACCACCAGGAACATCGAGACCCCACTGGGGTTACACTCAACTTCAGATCCTGACGATTAAATGGCCGGAGAAGGGCCAGACTAGCCCGGATGAGGTTAGAGGCGTCGCCAGCTGCCCCTTACTGCGTATTGTGTGAGGCCATGGCGTCCAGCCTGGATCCACCCGAGGGGGCCCTTTTTGGCTTTTCGGCTGGCTGGCCATCCATTTCCTTTCCCTGAGTTACCCTTTCTTTCCCGTCGCTTGAGGCTCACTCACTCGCTCACTCACTCAACTTCACTCCAACTTTGACTTCTTCCATCTCTTCTATCGTTTGGCTGCGCGCAACATGGCTGATGACGCGACTTAATCTTCGTCTCATGTCTTGATTTGTGACTGCCTTATTGTTCCATTCCTCCCCCTTTTTAATAGCGCCTCCCTCTCCCCTCTGCGCCCGTTTATATTGCTCTTCCGTCCCGTCGCCTCCCCCTCTCCGTGAGGCTCATCCCCAATGTCTAAGAGGCGGCTATTTCGCTGGCCTGCCCGCCGCACTGCCGGCCTGGGATGTCTTGCTCTCCTTGTCACCTCCATGGTATCTTGGTATCTCTATGGTACACGGCCCTATGAACCCCAACCAGGTATCTATACTTTCTCTCTGCAGCTCACGTGGTCCGTGTGCATCATCACCGACATCATGCTGACCCGACCTTGTCTCACCAGTCCATCAAGAAACTCCTAACAACGACCACGACATCGTGACATCCCAACTGGCCCAACTTACCAGTACTTACAGCAATGCGACAAATGACATTGGCTTGGTATTGGCTGCGACCGTGAAAGAGGACCTCACCTGGCTCCTCAACTACTGCAAAGACCAGTACGAACCTACCTAGCCACCAGGCGATCATATACTGATATACCTTGTCCAGCGGCTCAATTCCCTTCATCTACACGACCGACCAGCCCCCTGCCCCCTACCTCCTTGTTCCGCGTACTATTCGCGGCCGCGAAGCCGCCGCCTACCTTTCCTTCGTCGTCGACTTCTACCACCAACTTCCGAAGTATACCATCTTCATCCACTCGAATCTCGACCAATGGCACAATGACCTATTCGGTCCCCACACCAGCCCCGCGCTGAAGAACCTCCGACTTGAGGCCGTTGACGCGCAGGGTTACGTGAACCTTCGGTGCGAGCACGACCCGGGATGTCCCACGAGCGTGCACCCCTGGAGCCCGACACAAATCGATATTGAGAAGGACGACATCCGCGCATTCTTCCCGGAAGTGTACGAGACAATCTTGGGCGTACCGGCTGAGAAGGTGCCCGAACACATCGGAAATGTGTGCTGCGGACAGTTCGCCGTCAGCCGAGAACGGATTCTGGAACGGCCACGCGAAGACTACGAGCGCATGCTGAAATGGGCAGAGGAGACGGAGCTGACGGATAGCTTTGGTGTGGGATGGGTGTATGAGAAGATCTGGCATATCATTTTCGGAATGGATGTGATATAGTAAGTTGGCCTACAACTTGGTGGTGGAAATGCGGAGAAATGCTAACGGGTATAGTTGCCCCCGGTATGAGCAATGCCGGTGCGACACGTACGGATGGTGTGGACCGTTGGCGTCGGGTGAGACACTGCAGGCAGTGCGAGCGAAGAAGTCATAATCTAATGGATGATTGTTAATGCATGATGTATACTATCATGATTGGGGATATCGGTTGCATTTGGTTTGGTTTTCTTTGTTATGATTCGTGATCTAATGTACAGTTAGATATTCTTATCTTCGTGAATCTTTTTGGACTATTGACCGCTCAGGTATATACATTGGATATGCAAATCATAAACTGCAGCGCATGCTACTCATGGTTAATAGGTTGCTGATGCGTTCCTCGCACGGGCCCTGCATCTAGCTCAAACATTGGCCGTTGTACTGGACTTCCGGGCGCCTCATGCACGTCACCACTATCCAGCAACGGCACATCCGTCTCCGACGGTCGCCTCCGGGGGATCGGATGCAGGAACAGTGATCGTCCATCCGCATCATTCGGCGGCGACGCAGACGAGCGATCTCCTGGGACCAACGCAGCAGGGAGGGGCGGAGACGTCGACATGGACACCATAGATTCCCTGTTCATCTCGTTCGATGGCGGTGGCGGCGATATCGGTTTCCGGGGAATGGCACTAGCCGCAATAACAGGGTCGCTATTCTGCCTGAGTACGGCGGGATTCGGGACTCCGGTAACAGGCTTCTCATCACCAGCTGCCGACTCCTCGTCTCGATTACTACTACCACCGCCGCCCCGAAGGCCGACCCCGACAGGCGTATACATCATTTGGCTCTGATCATCATTCCGTCTTCTGCGCCGCTTCCGCTGTTTCCGATACATCATCCACAAACCAACAAGGATGAGAAGGACCAGTACAATCACGGCAATGGCGATACCGGCTTTGGCGCCCGCACTGAGTCCGCTGCTGGAACCGTCGGTGCAGGTGTAAGAACCTTGAAAGGCGCCGTTGTTGTTGCTGTTGTCGCGGCGACGGCGGGTATTATTATCGTCGTCATCGTCGTCATCACGAAGAGAGTTGAGACTCGAGCATCGAAACGACCCGCCATGGGAGTTAATCACCGTTTGTCCTTTGACCTTATCGAGATCCTCGAATTTGATCCTGCCCAACGTTAGAAAAATATCCCTCATAAAGCAAAGGAAACGGAAGACCCACTCGTTAAAAGTCCCCTTTAAAATCAAGCTCCCATCGACATTCTTCAGATCCGGGAATACAATATCCCTCAACTCCTTGTTCCCCTCGATATCAATCTCCCCGGGGACTTTTTCCAAATCCGGAAACGACAAATTCGTCAAGTCATCATTCCCCGAGATATATATCTTCCCATTCACTTTCTGTAGATCCGATGCCGAGAACGACGTCAAGCCGGATACATCCTGGATGGTGATGCCGCCATTGATAGTCTCGATATTGGAGAGCGAGATACTGCCCGTCGCAGAGGAAGAGATAGTCAGGGTACCGGAGAGGGTATCGCACGAGGAGAGCGAGTCCGCATCGGATTGGGAGGATATCGTCGAGGTGGAGGAACCTATCACACCACATCACCCACTCGTTAGTTGCCTGGGGCTTCTATCACGAAGTTTAAGGACATTACACTCACAATTAGAGTTATCATCCCCCGCAACCAGCGGTACATGTACCTGCAGGAGTAACCCCAGAACAAGGAGCAAGTAGCGTGCGCGTGTGCGTGATTGGGAGGAGGAATTGAGGTGGCTGTGTCGTAAGGGTATCATATCATCGGACCGCAGCACCACCACCAGTGCACCAAATCGTCAAGACCGAAGAAGAAAAAAGAAATTGAAACCAGTGTATATCCTCGTAACTCGGAACGTTAACAAACAACCATAAACTCGTAAAGTGGGTATGTAGTATGTTGAATAATTAGGGTATCAATACATCATTCGACAAGGACCGGACGCATCAAGACGAGAAAGTAGGCAGTAGGCAGTAACTCGAGGGTGTAAGTTGTAAGTTGTGAGTGGTATGGGTGGGGGTGTGTTGAAGAAAAAGAAAGCAAGTAAGTAAGTAGTAAGACTAGGCTCCTACAGAAAAAGACGGGGATAAGTGCGGAATAAGTACAGCAGAACAACAGTACTAGGTAGTAATTAGTGGTAAGTGGTTAGTTAGTGTAGCATGCATGCAGAGACACCATCATGCAGATTGGAACGGACGGCACACACACACACAGCGCACGGGTCGGCACTATTCGAGACACAGTAAAACTACTAGTAGTAGAATAAGTCTGTGGGGATGGGTAGTAGCTAACTGACTAGTTAGATGGGGTTGATGTTTGGTTCTTACTTAATAGTGTGTTTGTGATATTATTAGTTTAGTCTCCGACTAGAATTAAGATAAGTGGTGGTTGGAGGTGAGGGTGAAGGTGAGGGTGTAGGCAGATAGATATCTAACTACTTGAACTATTCTCTTTAGAGATGGGTCTAATTCATTATGTAGTGGTAGTGAGTGAGTGGTATCTCCGATGCAAGTAGTAGCAGCTCGGATGATCAGTTAGTTAACTAGCTAGCTAATTAGCTAGAAAGATACTGTGTAAATAGGTGGTTTGTTTCAGCTGTTGTGTACATACCTACTGCATCTATTCCTCAGGATAGCTAGACAAGTTACACAATAAGGCAATGGAAATTATTCCATGTTATCAAGGCAAGGCAATAAAAAGCAATTCTACGATACCAGCCAACCCCGAAGAAAAGCAAGCAAGGAAGGAAGGAAAAAAAAAAAAAAAATCAAGAAACCCCCGATACTACTCCAACTCTCAACACCGCCCCATTCATTAATCTTAATGACCCACTAACGACACCAAGAAAAAAATCAAGCACAAGCACAGAGTAAGTAGAGTGGACTGACCGATCACCACGATATCATCTCATCTCATATCATATCACTCATCATACCGTTAGCTCAGGTAAATTATTGGTATCCTGCATAAGTGTACACCGCATAACCACAACACAACACGACCAGAACTCTCAACTAGTGTACGACCTGATTGATCGATGGTAACTAATCCAATCAATAACCGTCACATTGAACCCTGATTTACTACTTACTTTTATCTATCGATGATCTAAAAATAGTCCACCCATCACATCACAACTTAATCATTCATTAATTCAGGCACCAGAATTTCCAGCGAAGGAGAAATCAGAAATGAAGCAAACCCTACCCAGTTAGTACGGAGTAGAGGGGAATGAATGATTGGAAGCGAGGGAGAGCGGATGGCGGGTCGGAAACAACTAACAACCACCCCCGCTTTTGTTTTGTTTGTAATGTTGTGTTGGAGTGATTCAGGCAGAAGAGATTCGGGATGCCCGATTGGGTAGTGATGTCCGATTATCATCATTCTTTTTCTTTTATCTTGTTTTTCGGTATTGGGTTGAGGTGGTGGGAGGTCGGAGATAAATTAATGTGGTGATTGTATGATTTTATCTTATTATTATTATTATTATTGATTCTGTTCTGTTATTGATGGACTGGTGATGGTCCTTGGTGTAGAAAATTTGTTGAAAAGGTTATGGCTGTCGGACATGGATGGTAGCCAAGACACACACACGGGTCACACCCGCATCTAATAAAGTGCCGAGAAGCTTAGGGATGGTAGAATCCAGTCATGGCATGAGGGGAGAGGGGATCTGTGGTCCATGTAGGTACCACTCATTCCAAGTTACTATGAAAGGGCCCTGCAGGCAACTCAATTAATGACTTGCTGGTTGATCGTCTCTCTCCTCGCGACGACGGATGATTTTCGACCAATTATTTATAGCATGATTTCGGTGGATAACTGAGACATTGCGGTTGAATATTGGTTTTTATTTTTAACTGCTGTAGTTAAGTATGCGATTCAGTTTGGACCCTTAGGCAACCCTGATACTCCATATTCCAACTCCATACTTTGTATGGAGTATGGGGACATCCATCTCGGCTAATTCTATATCAAGCACAGCTAAAAGACGACGCATCGTTCGGATCTCCACCAACATAGGTGAAGATCTTCGGATAAGGACAAAGATACGCCGTTCGAGTTGAGCTGCTGTTCGAGCCAGCCACTGCCACAGCAGTTGCTTCCAAAGTATCAGGCACTGTTGAGTTCTCAACCCATGCCCTGAGCGTTTCAAACACATAATCATTAGGATCGAATCCATTACCCCCCTCGCAATGAGCAACTCCAGGTGCCAGGAAAAAGCGGTAATAGTCTGTAACACTGGGATCCAAATCCATCACCCGACTGTAATAATCCACTGTACCGTTGGTCGGAATCAACTCGTCTTGCATTCCATGCCAAGAAATCATCTTTCCTCCCGCAATCTTGAACCCCGTCAAGTCAAGATTGCGTGTTCCAATAATGGAAGCATATTGGTCAACTGATTCGCGGTAGAGATCGTCAAAGTCTTGTCGCGTTAGGCCTTGAACACTAAAGGATGAGTTTCTAGCCAAGAAAATCCGGGCCCAGTCGGCGCTGATACTAAAAGGTGTCACAGTACAGTTATCAACCAATGTGCAGGTTGTCGTAAGGAGGGCTGTTAGATCGGCATCATAACCCAGTCCGTACCACTCGAACTGATCTTCGAGTGATATAGGTCCATCCCACATGCCTTGGACTAGCTCAGCCATCTTGTCCGTAATTGTAATCTGTCCGTCCGGATCACTGCAATTTACTGTCTGGCCGACAATCGACGACGCTTCATAATGGCATTGACCCGGAAGAGAAATAATTCCGTCCTTCACTCCGTCCAGCAAATCACAGGCTTCGATGGCAGCATCCGTAAATGCATCGAGGACACATGCAGGCGGCTGTGTATCTGTGAGATAATGATTAGCATGATTCTAATAAACCCAGCAATAGCAACACACCAAGAAGTTGCGCCAGGAAAGCAGGCCAGAACTCAGCCAGTTGAAATTTATCCCAATTGATAGCCGGCGAGCCTCCCACAATACCATCAAAGTAGGTCGGAAATCTCTGGGCCATCATGTGTCCCTGTCGCCCGCCAGTAGAACATCCATTCCAGTACGAGTACTTGGGCAGCGAACCAAAGTAGATTTCCGTAGCCAGCTTCCCAAGTACAGCTGCCTCGCCTAGTGCCACACTGGAGAAATCCCATAGCGCCGGCCAGTTGGTATTGCCTTCACTCACAAAACCCCAGTCTGCCGTTGAGGCGGTACTATTGTGCCCCCCATCGGTCGAGGAGGATGAGTATCCGGCAGAGACGGGAGCTATAATTTCATCAAGCCCTCCAGCTACCCATCCACCACCCCCGTCCATGAGAAAGCGTGAGTTCCAGCTGTTGGCATCAAGAGGCAGTCCGATGTAGGTATTAACAATGTCGTTCTGGCCAGGGTGTGTGTACTGCAATGACACGATGCAAATGTCCACCGTTGTCGGCATCTGGCCTACGGGTGCTGAGGTGGTCCCACTAGATAGTGTAGCACTGGTTGCAAAGTTGTGTGCAGCGGTGACATTGAGCGACAGTATATCGATATTGCTCAAGTTGAGAGACGAGAACGTCTCTTTAGTGCAGGGACTTGATGTTGCCGTTACCCCAGACAGGGATAATATCGACATTGAGGTCCACGCCATGGAGCGGAGAATCATGTTGACCGATTCGATACGTTGACAATGTCTGCGAGGATTTGTTTTGTTAGTATGGCGAAAGACGACGGATAGGAGAACTGCAGACTGTAATTTGCGAAAACGGTCGCCGCATGTTACCCATTATGTCGGATGCCTGCTGCAGAGCGATTTATAGGAAGAAGGAAGCATCCACCAGCTGCTCTCATAAACAATCTCAACGATGCCCGAGAAGAAGATCTTCGCTCGGGAAAGAACAACGGCAGTCATAATCCTCCCCCGCAGCTCGCAAGCTCCGGAGAGAAGTCCAGATAACCTGGAGAGAACAGGGACGTCATAGGTGGACTTGACTATACAGAGACCCGCAATCTGTTTATCCTTCTTCCCATTTCAACATTCCGTGGAACAAGCGTATTACTGGTATCACTCTAAAAGAGGAGTAGTTCAGTCTCCAAGCAAAATGCGGAGAGGACATTGGCCAGAGTCAAAAGGTTATGAAGCCGGATGAAGAGTACGGCATTGATTAGCGTGGTTCGTGCACATGCAAAGGCAGTGTTTGCAGACGTCTGCAATCGCTCTCCACATTTCGCTCGACTGGTTTGTGGGGTAGACAGTGTTTCCCGGGCGGGGGAGGCTCAGGTGGACGGGGGAAAAGTGAGGGGTATTCTGGAGACCATTCAACGATCATGATATGCTGTTGTACTAAAAAAGGTAATGTTGATGACGCTTCGCGCAGTGTACAAACGAGACATAATAATATCTGTATCTCATACTCATCCAGAAGGGAAGGATTGGAGTGAAGTTGATCCGCACATCGGGAGCGGTTGGTATCAGTCGGAGAGAATCCGCTCCAGCATTGCTACACACCTTACCTAGCAAGGTTAGTGTCGATTATGTCTATAAAACATGGTTAGTTAAGGGAATTTTAGGCAAAGATCTCACGTAAGATATTTTCGGCAATCACTCTGTAGGCCATACAGACATCGATTTGCCGGTATTAGCTTAGTAATGGGATCCCCTTTGGATGCAAGAAAGCAACAGCGGCAGCTTTCAGTTAAATATAGCTGTTGGTATGAATCATGTGATAAAAATGATTTGCCAGCTGCACATCCCTGTGTAGACGACAAGCCTTGCCTACTGTGCATTAGTGCCAAGAGCCGTTCAAAGTCTAGATTTCCTAAGGTTGTTTACAATCAGGGAATATCGGGAAAGGCGAATATCCTTTTGAATGATTCTTTTTTTGGATCCAGGTGTAGGTTGTATGGGGGTTCTCGGGGCTCTCGGGGTTATTACCTGGGCTACTACTATCAGATCTACTACCGGACCTGCTATGGAGGCTACTATTATGAAGCGATAACAGGATCAACACCTTGGCGCGTAGCATGCAGATCACTTGAAACCTGGAATAAAAAAGCAGTAGATATACCTGTCAGTATGATCTAGATAACACTGTTCCTCAGTTAAAAGATGAATCGTTTGCTAGGTCGTGTATTACGAATCCCCGGCACTCCCTTCTATGTACATTAGTCGGTATAATTTTACATCACAGCTAGGCCAATTCATAACGGATCGTCTTCGTCGTTTTCAGCTCCTGGGGCGGCAGCTCCTGGGGCGGTTGCTCCATCGCAGTGTCGGTGTCCATCTCCGGGAAATTGTAGGAGGCAGCGCCCTGGGGAAGCTCCGCAACCTCTCGTGGCTCGAGCTCCGCAGCCTGATAGCCGCCTTTGGAGTCAGTGGTCACACTCTTCTCCGGTGTTACTCCGGCTCCACTGGCGGCTTGCTTCCTCTTCTTGCGGAGGATGAGAAAGGCCACAGCAGCGATCAAGGCCGCGCCAGCAACGGATCCGACTACAATACCAGCAATGTCTCCGCCAGAGAGCCCACCTGAGCTTCCACTACTTTCCGCGTCCGTGCTTGTTCCGTTGGTGCTCGATCCCGTGGTGCTTGAGCTATTGGAGCTCCGTGACATCAACAAATTCGCAGTAAATGCATTCACGGCGCTCATCGAACTGAAGAAATTGGGATCCTTATCATACGTCGATTTGGTCCAATCGGAACCACAGACAGTGCCGTTGCTCATGCCGCTGCATTGCTTCGCAACAGCCTCTGCAGTGTTCCGGAGGAGAGGCTCAATAGTGTCCACAGTCTCTGGCATGAGGCGCGTCACCGCCGCAAGGCATGATGCCAGGAGGCCCTTCAAGGCGTAATAAGTATCATCGTCCATATTCGAACCCGTGAAACCTGTGCCGGCCTTCCATTTAATTCCAAGTTCCTGTATCACACCATCGTCAATAAACGTGTTCATGATGGTATTTAACAGCCCTTCTGCCCTTTTCTTCCAAACAGCTGCGCCGGTCTAGTTTAAGCCCACATGATTAGCCATAATTTTCTTGCACACCATGGTGGAGCCTTTGCAAACCTACCACACTATACATGTATGCCGCTGCGCTCATGTACAAACCATAGGCATATGTGTATTGTCCATTATTCGTAGTCATCGCCGTACAATCTCCTGAGGCGGTCGTATTCGTCACCAGAAAATTGACGGTCCAATTTGACTCCACCACCATATCGTTATCCACACACCAGTTCCAAATCGTGACTGCATCGTCTGCATAAGCAGATTGGTTATCACCCGTGGTAAGATATGCTAGTCGCGCGGACAATTGCAGGAACTCTCCGTTGCTCAGGGCGTCTTTCATCGACTCGTTCGCCGGTTGTAAAACACTATTGCCAGCTTCGAGGCCACCGTCGCACACAGTTGAAAATGTGAATGTACTCCTCATGGTCCCCTGAGCCTGACTCGCATAGGTCAGCCAAGACTTTTTGGTAGAGTCGGCTGGGAAGCCCATTTCAGCCGCTGTTACAGCGCCCAGTGCCCAAGCTCCATGGTTCATGTTGGTATCATTGTCGGATGCCGCCCATCCATCTCCGAGTTCCAGTCCTGCCATACTATACATGCGCTTGCTAATAAGATTATTGTAGCTATCGTTTCCAGTGAGATTCCAATACGGAATCAAAGTCGAGTATAGCCACGCCTCCACGGTGGAGGAGTTAAATAGCCACTCATTAGCATCACCATACACCGGGTTGACATTGCCGCTAAGTGATGAGTTGGTGAGCGTGTTCTGAACTGTCACTGTTGCGGCATCTTTGAGCGACTCTGGACGTGGTGCAAAAGAGGGCCAGTTAGCTCATCGGTCCCTTCGCGATGATCCAGACGAGAGAAAACTTACGTGTACTGTTGATGTCCAGATCCAGTGCTGACACCGTAACGAAAAGCCCAAAAAGCAGACATGTCCCAGCCTGATACCACATTGGGCGTAACATCACTCCCAAAGGTGATAATGCACAGCAGGATGAATAAACACGGAAGGAGGAAGTGAGGACACCCGGACTAGGAGCGAAGTCTGAGCATTTATGACCACAGGGAAGTAGATTTTGAACTAGCAATGCCTGCCCTGGACAGTTTAAGAGGGAAACAGTCTCGATTGGCGGGACGTGCTAAAGCTACTCGGGGCACTGTAACAAGACACCACTGCATGCGACGATAATTAGCCGGCCCACTAAAGCGTTTTCTGTGACTCCAAGACCCTCAATGTCTTTGGAACTGCTCATTTAGTAGGCTCGGCTTCAACGGCTTCTGTATGGCTGACCCTATCTGTTGGTCGGAAAGACCCCGGTGATTAACTTAGCCCGATGGGGATCGGACAGGGATCGTGGACAAAGAATCGGCTCACACTAACTCGTTAGTACGGAGTCGGCGATGTGCGAGCAGACCAAGATTGACAAACGACAGAGAAGTCGTTAGTCAATTGCCTCTGCAAAGTCTCCATCATCATTATGAATCAGTCAGAACAATTATTCAGTGAACTGAAATGTTAGTGAAACCCCATAATAGTAGTGAATGGGGTAGTTGTTCTATTGAGTTGAAGTGGAAGGAGAGAGAGGGAATAAGGAACTATCCGCCTCACCCACGGGACTAGTCTACTAGCGAAGTGACTTAACAAGAGTGGTAATTTCCCACCCCTGCTAGACCTTCCCCACTGCGGTTCCCGAAGCCGGGGTTTCACGCGAAACCAGTGGTGAACCTAAACGAAGCTAAGGCCTAATCCTGGTCAAGTCTTGACACCGTCCATCGCTGATCCGTCTCATCCCTCCCCGATCAGCTCAGCGTCTTGCTTTCTAGGGAGTAGTACGGAGTACTCCATACCAGTGCGCTTTCATGACCTGATTCGGTGGGATCGCGACTCAGCTGTGACTTGTTGGTCCATCACTTCGCTAAGCATGCGCTATTTGCGCTGTCAGAACGCCATTCCGATCAGCCCCTCGACTGTGTTGTTCGAAGGAGGTTCCTTGCTTGCCCGGAGATAAAGCGATGCTTGTCGGATGCTGCCCTGCCATTTCCTTGGCATCATTCAGCCGCTTGAAGATCGTCTCAGAGGCCGATGAGCTCAGGTTCCTGTATGGAGTAATTAGAAATCCATGGTCACCAAGTTATGCAGTGATGAGCAAGGATCTATATTCATACAATCATGTGAGACCATGAGATTTAAATCATAACAGTAGTGTGTAAGGCTGTGCATAAGCCACAAGCTGCACCGCCAACCAGAGTGGCTGACTCGCTTACGGTCTTTGGGCAACGAGGCTCTTTGTTGGGCAGCGGCCTCTATCTTGTCAGGCTCCTGCAGTAGTGAAGGGAGCTGAAGCCGTTCCTGAATGATTGGAAAAGCTGAGTTCGCTTACTCATTGCCCTACCTACGCTTTTCTATTACATACGCCAATGGGCTGCACTTGGATGAGCATAATTCGCGTCTTCAGGACGGAAGAACGAAAATTATGTCCACCAAGGAATTCAATTTAGATGGAGAGAAAGTGTAGAAATACCCGATATGGGGCATTACTCATCTGTATCTACACTTACTACACCTACGGAAGCTTTCTCATGACTCTACAATGAATATTAGATCACGATAGAGAATCACTGGTCTCTTTGATCTAATAGCATTGGCTGGTTACTAGTAGTAAGTACTAGCAGTGGTGGTGGTGATGGTGGTAGTTAAAAGTGTACTTAGTAAGTAGTAGTCTGCTTCGGTTAACCTCGGTTTAGCAATCGCAACTTCGGCAAGAGGAGGCTGCTTATCATCGTCATCAGTCAGTGCCTCCTGCACATGACCGTGTGTTCAGTCAGGCAGGTGCGTTTTCCTGTCCGGCTTACCACCACCCTTCTTAGTACCTTCTCTACTTTCCTCACTCCCACTGGGCTGTGCCATTTCCATGTCGTCCGACTCCTGCTTTTCGACCAAATGAGTGCTCCTCAGCCGGGCTCCGAATTCTTCACGGCCTGCCAGAATATTAAGAATGACCTAGAGAATCATACTAAGCGACGACTCGAGCCTGCCAGCCGGTTCATTTCGTATCAAGATCTGTTGAAAATATGGCAGACGGAAGATCGCATCCACAAAGTGCTCTATACCGACCGCCGCATCGATGACGATCTGCAGAACATCCAAGACAACTTCATTGCCATCCTTTCCACTCTCGTATCAATCGAGGCCACACATTGCCTAGCAAACTTCCGGAGTTTATTTCTTGCTGGGAATATAACCGATAAGGATCTTCCGCTAGAGCGAGAGCAAATCGAAACTTTCCTTCCTGATCAATCACAGCAAGTAGACCGATTCGATAACATTCAATGCAACTTTTGCCCAACAGTTATCTCTTGCACAACTCCCCTACATTGTGTTTCTTCTAAGCGTCGACTACCATTTGAGATAAAGCCTGAGAAGCTGGGCATTGGGGGCTTTGGAGAAGTGGAATTGGTGACTATAACGCCACGGTACTGGGAAACAGATAGTAAAAGTTACTACAACTTCGCCTATAAAGTTGCCTGCAAGAAATTCGACCTCAAGGAAGCTTTTCTCAAAGAACACAAGAATCTCACAATTTTAAAGGAGAGTTTGACAACACAGCATCACATTCTGCAGCATTACACGGCTGTGGACCATGGTCCACACAACTACTATATTCTCTTCCCATATGCCGAACATGGGGATCTGCACCAATTTCTATATGGTGGTGCTGGGAGCTATGAAATTCACAATCAATTTCCTGGCATACCGGAGGAAAGTGATACAGCCATATTCAAGCCATTGTTGTATCAATGCTGGGCTCTGGCATGCGCTATTCAGTGGTTGCACGACTATATTCAGGTTGATGGCGAGCACATCATGTGTGCTCATTTAGACCTCAAGCCGGACAACATCTTAATCAGGAATGATGCAAGCTCTGTTGTAGGGAAGTGGATGATATCTGACTTTGGCATTTCCGTGCTTGAACCCCAGAAGCTTGGTTCAGGCCGTCCACTCAGTGTCAGAGGCTGTTACCAGGAACCGACCATTGAAGTGAACCCTCACCGGGGAAGAGGAACCTATCGACCACCGGAAGCTATTATCCGAACAGGGTCAACAGTTACGGCTAACAAGATAGGTCGTCGAAGTGATATTTGGGCTTACGGGTGCATTTTCACTGAGGTACTCGCCTGGGCAATCGGACGACGCGAAGGTGTTCGACATTTAGCCGAGAAAAGGCAAATTGAAGCCACAAATGACTATTACTGGGATGAACAGTTTGCTCAGAGCTTGTCGCCTCAAGCGACAGGTTTCAAAGTACGAGATTCGGTTGTCCGATGGCTTGAGCACAATCAGAATTCCACTGAGAGGGTAGTAGGCGAATGGGTGAAGACAATCAAAGACATCCTTATCATAGACAAGGAGCACAGGCCCAAAGCGCAAAAGCTTGTGGAATACGTTAGAGGTGTGTACAAATCATGCGACCTGCCTCAAATCCGCGATTCGCAGCCACTCAAGTCCCCAGCCGAGCCTCCGTTCAGGCAGTCAAGCAGTTCATCATCTAGTCAGTCTCACAATCGATCAAATAGTCGATCCAGTGAGCTACGCAGTGAGCCATTCAGTCCCTCACCCAGTCCCTCACCCAGTCAATCATCGAGTCAACCTTCCAGTCCATTATCCAGTCAGCCATCCTATCGAATGCCAGATCTCCGAGAACCTCTCAGAGAGTCGGGCTTGCAGGGACAGAGCAAGCTACTACCACATGGCAAAAAACATTTCATTGACGCCTATATGTCGCGGACAAGCTGCCAAGGCAAGGTCCCAATTGCAGTAGTATTCAGTGACAAAGTTGAAATACTGAACTTGGACCTTACGCAAAAACAGATCGAAGAGATTGGATTCCTATCACTTTTTGGGAGATTAGGAAATGCCGAGGTTGTCATCGAAGGCCAGTACCTCGCAATTTGGGGTTTCTGCAAAGGTTCCCGTAAGGGAGAAGGGAAAAGAATGGTAAGTTTCTTTGTACAGCTTACGGGATTGTACTAATGAAACTAAGCTTCATATTGGGGAGGTTAATTCAGGCTTCGAGACAAGCCTACCCATAGTCCCGGAGTTAGTTCTATCGGTCGCCGTATCTCCGCATGGTCTATTCGCTTTAGTCCAGGACAAGGAAATAATACTACTGTCTTGGTCGTCCCATTCGTCATCAGATGTGCGGCGCACACTAACCTTGCCCAGCTCGGATCAATCATTCACGCAGGCCATATTCAACGCCAATGGTAAATTCTTGTTTGTGTGGGCAAGGAGCTCAAAGCATGAGTCTCTGTACGTTTGGAAAGTCGAGGGGATGACAGATGAACCAGACTTCGCTGTTCACTATTCTCTGGTAGGCCATACTACAGCCGCCCGTGTTAGATGATGCGAAACTAAGCATATATAAAGCAGCATCGATTCCACTGGAATACTTCAGTTATGCCTTATAGTTCTGGTGAAGGGTGTGTCCTTGCAGATGACCAGAACAGGTACACAGCTGTTACTCTGAATCAGCAGCGCAGTGGGACACATAGCGTTGAACCAGAGCGCATCGAGCGCCCATTTGATACTTTGAATGTGATAGTCAGCTGCATGATTGGTGATGAGTATCTGCTCGGGCTGGTCAAAAGCGGTCATCTAATTACGGCACGATTATATCTACATCGCTTTGAAATCACCCGCCGAGAAAACCAAACTCATGCCTCAATTACCCGGGGCAGTGAAGTCCTAGAAGTTCCAAAGAGCTTCAAGCAGGCCAGCAAAGTACGGGCCTATGAGCAGCTGGGGGTAGCAACAGTGGTATTATGGAACGAGACCAGCTTCTTCATATCTGACCTACCTCCCAGTAATGGGCATCATTGACGCATGATATTTAGCCTAGACTGCAAAAAGAAAAGAAAAAGAAACAACGACTACCAGATCTATAGTACACCTCACTCACTTGCAAACTCCTTCCCAACCTGCATCTCTGGTTCACTCACGTCTTCCTTCCCCGGACGCTGGAAAAAGCGGAACGGCTTCCTTTTCCACCAGGCATCGAACCATACAATCAACACATATATCAACCCTGTGACCATGGTTAGCGGTAACCAGGTGGCGAGAAACACCCAGAAGTCCTTGGCAATAACAATTTGGCGTAAGTCCTCATCGAAGACGAAGAAATTCATTCCATATAAGCTGACGATGAAAGAGCCGGGTAAGTAGATTGCCGACACGAATGTGATTACTTTGACTGCGGCGCTGTCATTCATGTTGTCCTCCTGCAACCGCTTTAAGCTACTGGTCAGATCGCGCAGTTCACGGTCGACTCTTGCTGTTTCAAGTTGATTGTGCAGCGAAAGTGTATAGCCAGCCTGTGTTGCGTTAGCATAATGCCCTTCGATTGACAACACAGAGGATTTGGAAGCCAACCAGATCAATCGCGTTCCTCATCCTTGGAATCAGCTCTTCACAGCTCTTTATGTAGCCCTGGAGCGCTAATAATAGTGCTTCGCACCCCGGGAGAGCTTGTCCCGCGGATTCCAATGTCCTCCTACGCAACGAAGAGGCAATGACGGGTTTCAGGGCGCTAATTAAGTCCAGGTTGCCACGACAGCATATATGTGCGCGCAGGGCAAAGTCATTCAAATTGCGAAGCTCTGAAACCGTTTTATAGCTCTCTCTAGGAGTGGATTCATCAGGTAAGTCTACCAGAGCTCTGTCATTCTGATTTAGTGAAAGCTGTTAGCCCAACAGTCATTGTGCTATCATGAAAGGCCTGACCAAGGGAGGTAAGATGGTCAGAAACTCGCTGAGAAATTGTGAACCCTACATATTCTTCGAATCGGTCTCCGAGATAACGAAGATACCATCTCCAGTTGCAAATGAAGGAGGAGAGAACTAGCGAATGAACCAGGATTGATTGGTCCCTGGCTTCGTTTCGGCTTAGGCCTGGCTGCAATCTCGAGTCTTCAAAGATCCCAAGCCCGTTCAGGATTCTTTTGTCTGAGATACTATCCTTATTTGGGTGAAGGAGAATGAAAAAGTCGTAACCTTTTTCATTCTGACTTGGTTGGCGACGGTGGTGGTACACCCCAGTGTGGCGCCATGACCACGGTATCAGCCTGCGTCCAGTTTTCTCAACATAGTTGAGCTGGTATGAAACATCTACCCGTCTCGTGTTACCGTTTGTTCTCTTGATGTCGTAGACGAGAGAAAATATCAGGACTCACAGGTGTCGTTGTCTCGCTCGTTCACACACAAAAGGCCATTCCCTGCTTCTGAAATGTGAACATTTCTCCCGAAAGAAAGCAGCACTTGAATAAAGGATGGATGTACGGCATATCGCTCTAGCAAGAGTGCCATTGACAGCGGAGTAACTTCTAGGGGGGCAATGGCGGCTGGGGAGTAGATGGACCTATTTGATCCCAATATTGATTAGCACCTTATTATATCGATGGACATTGGCCAAGGACAATGTACACATACACAATCCTGATATTCAATCCATCTGGTATAGCCGACTCTGTTGTCAGAAAATCCTGAAGCGATTTTGAATTCGTGTGAAGTTTTGTTGCACGATGATCTTGCGAGACATGAGCGTGAGTTTGTATGCTGCCACAGAAGGGCCATAACGGTACCCACCATCGTAGACATCCGTTACTCGGACGTGCGTTTCGTTTTTGCGTGTCAATACCCGCGGGACTCCGTTTAGAAAATGGTCCTCAAGGTTGGCGAGGTTGACCGAGGAAGGGTCGTGGTGAGAGGGCAGTTGCTGCAGGTAAGGGCGCCATATCTGGACCGGGTCATTGTCCACCGTCATTGTATTGGCCGTTTTTCTTTCCCTTCTTCTCACAACTTCGTTCCCACTTTCGCCTAGCTTGAGATGACAGTCAAACTTGTCTTTATATTGAAAGCTACATGGAAACCAGAAAATGTTCTTTTTGCGAGTCTCTCGGTCTTCGGGGCCACGATGCCTTCAGAGTTTTCGGGTAAGCCTTGCCGACCAGCGTTCAGCAAGGCTGAGGGATGAGACTAAATCATACGGATATGTATGCACAACGCCTCAGCCAGATTGATTGGCGGTTATCTACGGTCAAGGCTGACTATCTAGGACTAGTCTTCCAGCAAACAACGGCATAGCCTGTCTGCGCCACGCCCACCGTCCATTGAAACACACCCTCGCCCTCCTCATCGCGTATTCCGAAGCTTGCCACACTGGTACAGCCGCCCAAGCTAATGCATTGGGGCCAGCCATCAAGATGTTCCTATCCATACAGACGCCCTGCTTCTCATAATCACGCGGCCAGGTGCGCTGTGGTGCGGCTTCTTAGTTCCAGTACCATTTCACTATAATGGGAGGTGGCTCAGGTCAGCCGGGCGTCTGTGGATTGATGTTAAGACACATACTCCAGTTCTTCCTGTTGGTCAGTAGGTTAGCCTCTTACTTATCCTCTTGCCATCAGAAGATGCACAGCCATGACATACCTTAGTAAATCTTATGCTAGCCCAAACACACCATCGGTCATTGCGAAACTGTGGGTTCAATGATGGTCATTAGCGTCAGCCGGTCCATCGCGTTGTATGTCAGGCTTGATGGTCGGCAGGAAACCTACTTCCACCTTCGTCTGGACCTGGTTGTCATATCGCTCCCTCACATAGCTTGTTATTTCCTCGTCCATTTCGATGTACGATGATGCGGCTGAGGTAAGTTCGTGCCGATATGGAAGGTTGGAAGAAGCCATAGAGACTCGGATGAGGGAAACCTGAATGGCCGTGGTCGCAAGGTTGTAGCCGCTGTTCCCCAGAGTTTCCAATGCCAGTTCCGAGCGCTAGTTATATACAATGAGCCGAATCCTCGTGTACGACTGCTAGCATTCAAATATTCTGTTACCACTACAGAGCGCCATGCACACCAAATGAGGCTCTCGAGGTTTATCTGCGTGCCACAATAGCACTGGACGAGGGAGGAAAGCAATCAACTAAGGGCAGCCTTCTCTCCCCGCCCGGTGCTGTCGCGTCCGACGAGGCTGCGGGTGTTTTCTTATCACCAGCCAATCATTTGTTGAGATACACCATGCAAGACTTTCGAATTACTAGTAGTTCTTCCGAGTCAGGATTAGCCTGATCTGGTCATGTCCCCGATTCGTGTGAGATCCCCCTTCTCGGTTGCCTCGTGATTTCCCCCATCCGAGAGATGCCCCGGCCTAGCGTATTTACTCATTATGCAAGTCTATCTTTACCAAGATTATTAAGATGCTCTGCTTATTTCTTTGTTGGAATCTTCCATTCTACATGTCCGATTTCACCGCACAGAGTGTACACCTTTAAGTGGGCGATGCCATAGCCGAGCACAATGACGAACCAGGTGGACACTCCAGAAAAGCTTAAGTATGCAATATTTTGGAATATTTGACGATATGCTGACGGGGTCTAGGCAGGAGCTTTTTGGGTTTCAGATCTTTGTATGCATGATGCTTTTGTTGACTTGGTCGTTGCTGATAGGCCTCAGTTCATCACACTCAGTGTTGTCATCGGAAGTGGCATATTCACCAACAATGGAATGGCCCTCGCCATTGCGGGACCAATGGGCTTGATTATTGCGGTCCTTATCATCAGCATAGTAGTTCTAGCAGTCAATGAGTGTATTGCCGAGTTGGCTCAGCAGTTCCCGGTTTACAATTCGATCGTTGAATATGTTCGCACATTCGTCGACGAGGACTTTGGCTGGGTTATCGGACTGGCTTATTGGTAATAATTTTTTTGATCTAGCACCAAGCACCATTTGGAGCTAACGGGGAAATAGGTATGCATACGCAGCAACGTTTGCCAGCCAAACCTCCATGGCTGCGACTCTCCTAGAGTACTGGGGCCTGGCAACGGCGTGGAGAGTTCTTATCTGCTACGTTATGGTTCCAGTCATCTTATTCCTTCTCAACATGACTGGAGTTTTCGTGAGTTGTGTCGTCTAATTGATGGATACTTAGCTGATATGAACTCAGTGGTACGGTGTTGTGGAAACGATTGGTGGTTTCCTGAAGCTGGTGATGATTGTGGCAATTTCAATTTATCTCTATACAATTGCGGACGATGGTAAGTGACAATCCCAGATGGCACTATTCTAATTTCGTTGCCATCGTTGAGGCTCCAGTAAAAGCTCACTTGTTGTAGTGTCTTCTCCTAGCTTTGAACATGGACAAGGTTTCAGCAGTAACGGCCAAGCCCAGTGGTCAGCTCGCCGCCCCCTTACCTATTCATCTGGAATGCTAAGATGGTACCAGTTATGCTATCCCACTCACGGCATACGCTTTCCAGGGCATAGAAGTATACGCCATGACTGCGTTTGAAGCTCGAGACGGCCATGCCCTTCGCTGGCCGGCTCGCTGGACTGCGTATGTAGCGGTAGTCGTGTACATCATGTGCACGTTGGGAGAGGTCATCAACGTGAAGTGGGACGATTCTGCTCTACCGAAACTCCATGATGGAGTTTCAAATAGCACATTATCAGCTACTTCTAACCCTGGTTCGTCAAGTAGCATGATCGTCATAGCCGCGCTGCACACCAATAATCGGTCAATGGCTGGATTCCTCAACGGCTGTTTACTCTTCAGTGTCTTTTCTGCAGCCAACACTTCACTGTACGTTGCTTCCCGAACCTTATGGGGTATGGCGAAGCACTTTCCCAGATCTTCGACGAAAGAACTCTGGGTCAAGAAGAAGCTGGCAATTCTAAGCGAGGGCACCAAAGTTCCGGCTGTATCCTTGCTGGTCTCACTTCTAGCATTCTGCTGGGTCCCATTCCTACAGCTCGTAGATAGCTCTGCAGTACAGCAGGTGTGTGGGTGTGATATATTTGCTCTGCGTATCTGCTAATACAGACAGGTGGTCCAAGTTATATCTATCTCCTCCAGCACTGCTATAATGATCGTATGGGCAGCTATCTGTCTCGCATTTATTCGATACTATTACTGGTTCGTGTGTCTGCTCAACATACAATAGTGAAGAGATACTCATTGCTAGCGCAGGTTGAAGAAATGCGAACCCCGGCTTCGGTACCACAACCGTCCTGAATACATCCGACTAGATGAAAAGTACATTGCTAAAGGCAGTCTGCGTATTCTACAACCACTTCAGGCCTGGATCGGACTGATTGGGTGTATCACCATATTCGCATTTTCGAGCGCGACATGGTGGAGTGAAACCGCAACTGTCACCGAAGTCGCCATGGCGTACGGGCCGGTAAGCCAATGCAACAACTGAGCACTTTTTCCCATTCTAACTCTATACCAATAGCATATGGTCCTCTTTCTTATATTCATCATCTCGAAAGCGTTCAGTAAGAACAAGGGGTGGGTCAAATTGAAAAACGACGAATGGGTCCTGCGGAATGCCTTGGATAGACTATGGATTCGCAAGATCGATCATCATGAAGAAACTGCCTTAGAGCGCCTGGACAGTGTTATGAAATCGCTGTTGTCTTCAAAATTATGGGGAAGATTCAGGAATAGGCAGAACAGCCAGCAAGCGGATGGGGATGTCCATCATCGGAGTGAAGGTTCCACGTCTGCGGAGACAAACAGGCAAGAGTTGCTAACTATTTCGAACGACCAGCCTGTATAGGAGGCCCAATCCTAAGTCTATGCCTTTGTCATATGTATACTCTGGACACCTGTTAATAGTTAATACGTGGAATGAAGAGATGAATCTATGAAGTTCTTTGATTTACTGATTGGTCACATCGTGAATGCCCTCACTACGAGGAATACACGCCGTGCCTGATTACCATGCTGATATCCCACTACCTGAACAGCTCACTCACGGATTAGCAAAACGTGATAATGAAGCAATCGCCGTTAGCAACACGGTATGAATTCATATCAAGCTATTCACTCCAAACAGCCTCCTAAACACGAAATAAACTATAGAATAGGCACCGAGGAAAGGTAATATCGCCAATTCGCAAGCCCTTGCATTAACTCAATGCTTTCAATGCAGGCAATAGTAACTGTAGTTGCTACGCCGATGAAAGTCTGATTCGTGAATCTACTAATTCATGCCTCACAGCTCTTCACCGAGCAGCTGTAATATAAAAGAGATCTTCTCAGCTTTTAATCTTCCTTCCTTCTTCTCTAATTATCTTCTCCAATGTCTGCTCCAATACATGAGGAACACCCGAATCAAACTAGTCATAGTTCCAAGTTCTTTCTATCATCATTGGGCATTATACCCATGGCCATCATATCTTCACCACAATACCTCCTCAAATATAGGCTGGTCGATCGACGCGTTCTATCCATCGTTGGGTGTTATCTCTATCATCTTCAACAAGTACTTGACTCAAGTATGCTAGAGAGACATCCATCAAGACCAAACCATTTATGAAGAACCAAGTGTCTGACTAACAGCACTTCTGATAACCAGACACCTCAAAGGAGAAGAAGAAGGCATACAAGATGATCGCTATATGATCTCAAGATACCAACTACAAACCGACACTCGAGTCACTGGCGTTGCAGGTGGCGCCGGTCGCCATGGTTCGACATACCAAGCACGCATTGGCAAAACTCGAACGAAGGTACCAATTATAGCGATGCCAGAGCATCGGAGAGCCAGGGCCCATTCAGTCAGGGTCAGTGCTCAAGGACATGTTGGCGTTTGCATCGCTGGGACAAGAGCTGGAATTCGGCACGGATTTTGAAGATTGACTGAGTAAACGGTCATTTTCACAGGTTCCTGTTAGCGCCTCGCATGGCTACAATGGCCACTTGAGGTGGAAAGGAGGTTACTGACAAGATGAAAGGAGAATTGTGTTATTCATTCTTTCTCGACAGGAATATAGAGCTGGATGTGTCACATTGATGTGGCAAAAGTTAGAATGTGGCTTGGGGCTCTCGTTGAGACTCCATGGGGAGTATAGCACGTTGTCTCTCATCTGAGCTTGATGTCACAGGGCTTTGATCGAAAGTCATATGTGGGCTAGAAGAAGTGCTTCTATATGTGCGTTCAGAAAAAGCTCGACTCCTGGAGCAAGATTTGATGTCTTGCCAAAGTGGCCCTGGTGTATGTGCTGTCTGAGGGATTGCAATCAAGAACTTTGAGCCCGAAGAAAAGGAGCAGCAGAAAGCCTTCAAGATCAACTGTGTGCTTGATGCGGAGGGTTCGATCCTGTGTCAACAGTGTTTCGGTCGTAGCGACGGCTGTGAAGCGGTGTGGATTCGCAGACTTCTTCTGATATAGAGAGCTAACGCCATGCTTTGGCCTTCCTTCTTGAATGGACCCTTGGAATGGCATCGCTCGAAAAGAATGATGAAGACTTATCGATCCTTATACTGACGGTACTATGAAGATAGAACGATCTTTCTTCAATCAATCATAGTAATCTCAACTATGATCAAGGGATCGATGACACATTCAACACAAGTGCCACAGAAAGGGAATAAATCTGGCAGAAACTGTTGGCTTGGGCAATGGGGCCTGAGAAATATACATCGCCGAATAACACCATTTGGTGTTCTGCATTTGTCTCTGGCACTTGATACATCACCGGTCTTCCAAATCGACTGGCGTCAGTGCCAGGTATTCTAGCTCAGGGGCTGACGAGTGGATAACCCTTGAGGGTGGTGTGCTTGTCGATAGGCTTCAAAGGTGGGCTTATGGTACCACTCTTCAAAGCTTGGGCAGATGCAGGCTGCTCGTTACTATCTTGTCTAGATACCGGCAGAGAATCGGCTCTTCAAGGATAAAG